TTTGAGTTCTTTATATATCCTTGATAATAGTCCTTTGTCTGAGGTACAGCTGGTAAAAATTTTTTCCCACATTGTAGATTGTCTCTTAGTTCTGCTAATGGTTTCTTTTGAAGTACAGAAGCTTTTTAGTAAGATGAGATCCCAGTTGTTGATTCTTTCTGCTAGTTCCCGTGCTACTGAGGATTTGTTCATAAAGTCTTTTCCTATACCAATGTCTAGGGAAGAGAGTTTTAAAAGAGATCCAGTGTCTCCTTTAGTTTCCTGTGCCTCATCTACCTTGAAGGAGGTTTGCAAGGGGCCTGGGAAGGGGAACACTAGTTTGGTTGTGTCTGAGTTCTCCAACTGAGTTGTTCTTTTGTATCCCTACCATTTTACCACCTTCTGGGGAAAAGTGGAATTTCACCTTCAGGCCAGTGTTTGAGGCTCCATGCCAAGACTGCCTGAACGGTTCCGTTCTTTCCTGTGTTTTGGGGGAGGGTACTGGATTGTCTCAGTTGTATTCCAAACTCTCTCTGTTAGAGCCTCATCTCTCTTGTATTGAGCTTCTATTGTGAAAGCAATTTATTCTTAAAAATTTCTTCGTTCTAATGCTATAGAACCTAAAACTGATTCCTGTTTGTTGGGAATTTTTGGTTGAGTGCTGTACCTTTTCCTTGTAGGATTTTTAATATTCCTTGTAAGATAGATAGTCTCTACTTTTGTGTGTCGGTCTTGTTTCTATAGTTCTCTTATTTTGCATATTAAAATGTCAGAATATAATGTTAAGTTAGAACTCAGAATCAAATGTGTAAGCATCAGTAGGAAAGTTTTATGTTTGTGGAGATTCTAATAGCACTTAAATCCAGTATCTAAAGAAAAAGGCATTGTATTCAGAGCACTGTCATCCAGTGAAAAACAAATTACACTGTTCATTATCTTACCCTAAAATATGGCAGGTCAGTTATTAATGCCATTTTCACAGTTTTTTAGAACAGTATGGTATTTGAAGATTTGACACAGATGAATTTGTGGTTTTGCATAAATACGATTCTGATGTACCCATCTGTGGCATTTAGCACTGAAGCAAAACAATTTTCTTAATAGTCACAGCTTGTGTCTTAGTCAAAGTCATATCACAGCATATTTTTCCTGTGTGATCTTGGCATATATTTTAGGGATGCACTCAATATATGAATAATCTTGAAAAGAGCCCTAAGTATTATACTGTGCTTTCGTTAAGTCAGCCTTTGCATATATCTCTAAATACCTAGCAGACCCTTAGAGCAGAATACTCAATAAGCAACTCCATTCTGGAGTCCTTCACTTTTAAAAACAGGTTTATTGAACTATATTTGTGTGTGTGTGTATGTGTGTGTGTGTTTGTGTGTGTGTGTTACTATGGATTGCACTGAGCTATATTCCTAACTTTTTTTACTTTTTATTTTGGAAGAGAGTATCCCTAAATTGATTGGGCTGGGCTCAAACTTGTGATCTTCCTTCCTCAGACTCCCAGAATGCTGGGATTATGGATGTGTGGCACCACAGTTAGCTGAACCCTATAATTCAATGCTTTTTGTATCTTAATTATTTCCTATGGTATTAAGGTCACAACTTTTTTCCCCCCAGAACAGGGGATTGAACTCAGGATCTTGCACTTGTGAGGCAGGCAGGGTGCCATTGAGCTGTTAGGGCGCCTGGCCCTAACGTTTTATCTTGAGGCATGACAGCAAAACAAGCACAGTTTTCTTTTTCTTTCTTTATGGTTTCTTTGAGGATTCCTTTTTACTGTAGACGTTAACTTCAATGCATGATTTTTTTTCATTATTATGTTAAGAACACTCACCTTTTTGTATAAAAGAAACATTGCATGGACTCTCTTTGATAAATCTGAATTGTTTTGTGACTTGGGGCCATTTTTAAATAAAATAAAGGCCATCTGAACACAGGAACTGCAATTCCACTGGATGGCACAGAGGATGAGAGATTTCATAACATTAATTGAGATGGTGCTCTATTTAGAACTCATGAATTATTTATTTCTGGAATTTTCCATTTAATATTTTCAGATCATGGTTGACTGTAGGTAATTGAAACCTCAGAAAACAAAACCTTGAGTAAGTAAGAACTGCTGTGTTGCATTCTATTTATCCATTCATCAGTGGGTGGGCATTGGTTTGTTTCCACTCAGGCCTACACTTTTTTTTTTGTTTTGCTTTTTGAGACAGGGTCTCACTGTGTAGTTGAGACTGACCTAGAACTCACTGTGTAGTGCGGGCTGGTCTTGAACTCACAGCGACCCTCCTGCCTCAGCCTCCTGAGTGCTGGGATTACAGGTGTGCACCACCACGGCTGGCAAGGCCTACACTTTTTGAAGCATCTTCTCTTGCCTCTTCACTGTCACTCACAGCCAGTGTGGTCATCCCTAACTCTGCCTTTCCTTGTCCCAGATACCCTTTCATTATACCTACCCGCTATTGATGATCCTCAAGGCCCAGCCACACTCTTGCCTCCTAGGTCAGGCCTTCCCTCACTGCTGAAACCAGACACCGGGCTTCTCTCTGCCCCTGTGTTTTAGCGGCTACCTCCCTTGCCTGGCAATTCATCATGGCTTCACAGTCCTTGGCTTGTGTGTATATGTACATTTTCTTTAATAGGTTGTAATCTCTTGGAGGACAAGCCATATTTTATGTTGTTTTGGAATTCTTTTTGCTGTGATATACATACATATCTCTTAATGGAATGAATATGAACAAAATGCTAGATGAATTAAGCTACTTCTGATTTTCTTTTTCATGTTGTGGTCCAGTAGACCTAGACAGGCTTTGGTTATATCTTATTCTGTTATTCATTATCTTTGTGACACGGGAAAGTGACTTATGCTTTTTGAGCCCTGGTTTTCTCATTGATAAAGTGAAAATGATAATCTTGGTTTCCCAGAGTGGTTGTAGTACCTGTGGAGCAGCTGAAGCTGGTGCAGAGTGGGCAACAATTTACATTAAAATCCCTGTTTTTCTCCAGCTTCCTAGATACTTATGTCTTCAAGAGGATAA